CCCCAAAACCCCAAAACCCCAAAACCCCGCAGTTGCCAGGTTTGGAAGAGTTTATAATATTATAAAATTAACTAAAGAATTTTTGAAGCCGGGGTTTCAGAAATCCTTATTGAAACCAGATGCAATTGCCAAGGAATGTAGCCATCTTGGAGGGTAAGTCCTTGTAGATACTAAGGAGGAAATGCAAAGCTCTATGTTGTCAAACTTTAAGTTGATTTAATGGAATGTTAACTTATGGCTAGATCTAGAATTGATTCCTACTATATTGCATTTTTGAATACTAATATTCATCCTCTCGACCATCCTTTATCTTGGGAACTTTTGATGAGAACTAACCGGCAACCTTGATAACCTTTCCAAAAGCAGAACAGAAGACTATAATTGATACTTTTGTCAATGAGTATCGGATAAACAAGATGCTTAGGGTTTGGAATACTATCTGTACAAACTTATCTCTAAAGAAAACCCAAAATTTTGCTAAAGAGCATAACCTTTGAATTGAAATCTTACTGGAAAGTGCGTCTTTTTAATGAAGGATATTACAGAGTCAAGGGAAATCTTGAATTCTATGTAAAAAGAGGAAGAAAATTTACTGAAATCTTATATCTTCTTTGAATGCAGACTCCAAAGCCAGACATGTAACTTAGGAGAGAATTTGCAGAGGAAATTTATATTGAGAGGCAAAATCAAATATTTTCATAAAATCTTTCATCAAACTTCAACTGGGATGTTTCAGATGAGACTGACAAAGAGATTGCTGATTTTATTCCAACATTAGGAAGGGCGAGATATTTCTAGCAATCTATCATTCTTGCCAGATTCAATTTTAATTCCTTATGTATGATATTTTCCTAAGTTAAATTACCACACTAAATATGATGAGATATGTTAAGCCCATCCAAAGATCCAAAAGAAGAGAAAACTTTAACCATCTCTAACACCAGAAACGGTAAGATATCAACCTCAGAGATAGAGAGAGATTGGGCTGTCTTCTTCATTTCTTATGCCCACTATAACAGATTAAGATTACTGTTCAGTGAGTAAAATTGGAAAAGTAAAATTGTAGTTCTTCTTTATATATACATAGTTTTTTTCAATTTCGGTCAAAAACAGAGGGGTTTTGGGGTTTTGGGGTTTTGGGG